CAAAACAAAAGATAAAGGTAATATGAGCCAGACTGATGCTGACTAACTCCGGAGTGCCATTTGAGATGTAAGTATTAAGGGCACAGGAAGAGAAAAAAGAAAGGAAAGCTTGCCTTTTACTCTTTCCCTTGCAATTGAGACACTTACTTTTAGATTACAATATTACAATGGCAGCCACCATTCAAAATAGCAGAGGGGAGGAGAGGATCGCTAGGGCAACCTGCAGAGAGAGGAATTTACTTCAGATTTACTTCAGAAAATGTTTGAGGAATTGGGTAATAACTTAGCTGAATCACTTGATACTAAATTGACTAAATCACTGGATACTAAATTGACAGCTTTTGAAAAAAATGGATGAAAGACTTGTAAAGATGAAAGAGGAGATGAAAGAAGAAGTCAAGAAGATGGAAAGCTCTGTAAAACAAATGTCTCAAGATGTGAAACAAATTAGTGACAAAGTGGAAATGCTAGAGAGTAAGACAAAAGTTATGGACAGAGACCTGGAAAGAGAATTAGATATTTGGCACTACTGGAATGAGAAAGGAATTTTGTTTGTCAGATGAGACTACACAAAAGCTATAGCAGGTGCAAAAGGAAACTGAAAGGGATGATACTGAAAGATTCAGCAATACCTGTAATGGAGGAATGGTTGGTGAAGACGATGGAACGCGCTCAGATGGCCAAATTGACTTCTTTTATTAAAGACAATTCCTACATTTGTTGCTGACTGGAAACCCCTTACGGACTTTTTGTGGAAAACAAAAAAAAATGAACTTATGATTTATCGTTTTGATGATTAGATAGGACAGATTATAGAAAGAAGAGAGACATTTGTAACTTTAAAGAGGTAAATTTATAATTGTATTTATAACTGCTGTAAAGAAGATCAAAAGCCACTTCTAAGGGTGGACAATTGAAACTAATACCATCTAGTCTACGTTTAGTACAGAAATTGTGCAATAGCTTGCACAATCAGCAAAATCTTTACGATCCATGAAAAGCCCAGCTGTAAAAGCATTATTAAAGAAGGCTGGAAAATATTTTAAAAAAACATTAAAATTGTCCAACAATATAGGAGCAAAAAAGTCTCTGTCATCTGCAAATCAGTGGAATGGCCATCAGTATTGGGAGCTTTCCCTGTTTTCATAGATTTCACAGTACAGTATCTATTATTTCCTGGAGAGAGAGAGATGTAGCTAGATAAACAGCACAGTTGTGTAATCTTCAAGAGAACTATATTATTTTTTAAAAAAAGATTAATTTCTTAGTAACCTTTGCCTTAGTATTATAAAACTGAATATAAAAATGTAAACATTTATGATTTTTTAGATTGGAGTCATTATATACTTTATTCAATTTATTTGTGACTCTGGGCAGCTTACAATTAAAACATCAACAGTACCAAAAAATAAAACAGCCATACAAACATTAAAAACAGTTAAAGGCATACAGTACAATCACTGGGAGAGTACAGCAGTTTTATGGGCTCCACACTGTCCTCTGATCCCCAGGCCAGCCAGGTCTTCAGGCCCTGAGTCTCTATGCTGGTAGGAATGATCTTCTTCTTGCTGCTGTTTCAATCAAGAGGCCAATAATTCACCAGGTTTTCACCCATTCCCATATCTTTGCTTCCTGTGACTCTGAATATCCTGAGCCAGGCACTGGGCTAGAAGTATAGATGGTGTTGTCACGGGGTTTGGTTAGTTTTATTTATTCTGTTTTTACGGAATATTATTGTAAGCCCCCTAGGTTTATTATGAATAGAATAGGCAGCCATGTACGTTCTAAAATAATAATAATAATAATAGGAATTAAGTTCCAATTTTGCAGGCATCAAACCTTTACAGTATAACAATAATAATAATTTATTAAACTTGCATGCCCCTGACTCCCACTGACTGGGCGGCTCACAGCAATCAAAGAAATTACAATCAAATCAATAAAAGATGGCAACTGTGATGAAGCGAGGGGTCTCGCTCTCCCTCGCCAAAGGCCTGGGTGAAGAACCAGGTCTTCAGGGCCATCTGGACCTCGGGGGCGGGGTGGGGAATCTTGTTCCAGAGTGCAGGCACTGCTGCATAGAAGGCATGCTTCTGGGGTCAAAAGAACCTGGAGCATACCAACCCTCAGGATTGAATCAGCCAGGCAGATCCTATGGGAGACTGGCAGTCCCTCAAGTAACCAGGCTATCATTCAAGTAACCAGAATATCATTCCGGTGCACACTGGCTTGTCGGTGTATTAAAAATTCCTTAGCTTTATTTTCCAAATTTTCTTGTTAGATGTTTTATCCTTATTCTACGAAGCCTCAACAATAATGCACTCAAGCGTACATGTTTGAAAATAGAGCGCCTCTTGAATATTTTTATCAATGGCTTAAAGACTAAAGCTTCCCTTCAGGGTGCAACAGAAGAGTGAAAACGTATCCCAAAAGAAACAGCAGAGCGCTTAACTGGGGGAAGAGTTTTCAGCCACTAAACTGGACTTTGCCTCTGAAGACAACTTGAACCTTGCTACCACTTCAGTTGTCTTTTCTTAACACTGAGTGGACCTCCCTCCCTAAATCAGCCTTTTCTCACAAACAGCTGCTGCTGTACCAAGATGATATTTTGCTAGGATAATGATAAGGTGTCCTGAATGGTTGCCCAGGAAGGTGAGGTGGCTGTGGTTAGGCCTACGGTTAGAGTAACTGAGGCAGTAATTGGCTGATGAATAGTAGGACCTGACTGGGCCAGACCTCGCTGCCAGTATGCAGGCATCACCCAAAGAATCACGGATTGTGGCATCACTGCAGAAGGTTGACAGGGAAAGAGTGGCGTTATCCCCCTTTCCCCCTACAGCACAATCAAGGTTTTGCAGGCTGCAGCAATGTGCATGTAGCTCAGCAAGCTTTGCGAATTGCATCCTTGGATTGTAAATCACTTACTGTCAGGTTAAGCCCAAGAAACTCCACAAGACAGTTCTGGAACAGCTCAGTTACTTTATTAGCTCACATCTGCTAGACAGAACCTCGCCAGACTCACTCTAAACTCCCCAATCCAGCAACTAAACACTACGAATCCCTTAGGGTGGTGCCAGTCTCATCCTCTTCGCTTTTCCGTGCTCAAGCTGTGGGCTGAGGAGATGCTTCTGTCCTTGAACCTTCTCGTCCCAATCCATCACGCTTACGCCTGGGAGCCTCTTACCTGCATTCATACTTGATACAAGATAAAAAGGAGAGCACCGGCTCCCTGATCTAACATCTGCTAAGATGAGACAGCAGCAGCTGCACACCAGAAACTGTTTCCCATAAAAGTCACTTACTGTATCTGGTTTCCCACAAAGGACCAGATATATCATCAGACTATCCAGGGAGCTGCATGCTAGGAACTCTCTGGCAGAGGGTCAGTTATCTGAGTCCCCAAATTATGGACCAGAGATGTCCTCAGATCATCCCCAGGTGCTCTCTGCAGGGGAGACTCTTATTTAAAAATATTCCTGGTGGTAGATCAGCTGTCTGAGTCGTGACCGAGTCACTGATAAGAGAATGCTACGAAGCCATCCCCAGGAGCTACTGTTCACGCTTCCTGCCTCCTAAGTATAAAAGGGTGGCAAAAGCCACCAAGCAGTTTGAACTTCAGCATAGACCCAAAGTTTTTTGGGGGGGCTCCCCAAGGCCAGCTGCTCCCTGGATTAAGTCTTATTTCTGGGGTTCCTGGTAGGCCCATGAGACACGGACTGATACTTTGTTATTTTTGTTTTCCCTATGACTCCTTCACTCCGTAAAAATCCGTTTGGGCTTTTCTGCCTGGTTTGAACTTATGGTCTGAAGAACCTTAAAGAACCTGCTTCTCCTGACTGGACACCAGGTGGTGACCCCCGCGCTTGGCAGGTTCCACAAGCGCACTTTGATCGGAAGAGGGGGTGGGGAGTAAGTCCTGTGCCCCCATGGCTCCATGGCAGCTGGGGCCTAGAGAGGGAAGAAGGGGTTGTCCTAAGACTTGGGATGCTGAGAAAAGACCAGCGTCACGAGATCAAGACGGCCAGCGCATCATAGTGCCGACGTAAACTGCAAGCCAGGAGGAGGCTTCTCTTTCCTGGCCCGGTTTCCAGGAAGGCTGTATATCGCCCTGAGAAAAGGGGCGGCCAATTTAAAGAATTGCAGACAGGAGCTATATTATCAATCCTGCAGGTTCTGAAGCCATATTTTGCCTCTGAACCTGAAACACTTGCAGTCCCCAATCATCCTTATTGTCCTTGGAAGCTCATGCCAGTTCCCCTGAATTTTCTTAAAACTGAAGAGCACCGAGCTAAACAGCAGCTGAGATGGAATTCAGCCGACACAGACCAAAATCTAAAATGATGGAACTAAATGGCTGGCCTATACTCAGGTGTATGTCATAGCGCTGGATTCACACAATGCACCTCCCTTGCATAGGCCTGTTTTCCAGGTTCAGCCAGTAGACTGATAAAAAAATTAACCAAATAGCAAGGGATTGCTGCAACAACAGCCTACCCAGATTAGAAATAAAGTAGCATGTCATACAGAGGCAGCTGCTTGTCTTTAACTAACCTGGCTAAGTGTATTCTGTGAATTCAGCCATTTTCACAGAACACTGTTAGAAGTAGTAACTTGCTTTTGTTTGGCACCATGTTGTGTGAGTGAAGCAGCCATTGTGGCTTGTCAGTTATGGTTTATAGCTTAGCAGAGAGGAAGGCAACATATGCTTATGGTACTAGAGAAGCTCCCAACTGCATCTGACTTTATTGTTGTTTTTAAATTATTTTAATTAAAAAGCAGCACCCAAGTTCTAGCATTGTAATTTACACAAGATATTCTTAGAAATTGGGGAAGGAACCCCAGGGTTTTGTTTGGAAACCTTCTGAGACCAAGGTGACGCTGAATGAAAGGGCTTCCTAGGAGCAACAAGGGGAGAAGCTCCCCTGTTTACTTCTGATCAATGAGTATGATAGGACTGGTCAAAGGACTCTTTTAGCGATCCCATTTATTTGTTTGTTTGTTTTTCACTTTTATATAACTGCCTATCTCATATATATAACTCTGGGTGGCTTGCAAACACTTGAAACAAACACAAAGACAATGAAAAAGAACAATACAACAATTTAAAAACAAAAAAATATATAATATAAAAAACCATAAAATACATAAAACTTGTGCATCTATCTATTTATATCTATCTATCTACCTATCTAAAATACATATATATCAAAAAGGCCCCCAAAACATCTGCTGCCCACCATCTGGAACATAATTGGTGAAGTAGCCATGTCAACGCTGGATCCATTGCACAGATCAGCCTTTGGGTCCTTGTATCAAAAAAAAGAGGGGGAGGGGAGGAATTGACTGTCAGGCCAAATTTACAGGAAGAAATATACAGTATTGCTATGGATTTCATCTTTGAAGAAAGAGAAAGCATTGCTGGGCCTAATTTAATCCTTCTAAAATCAGATCATAAGTGCACCCAGGACTGATCCTCAGCATTGTTGTTACTTTACCAGTTTCCTCCCAAGGCTTGGCAAACTGCTGAACCTCCTTCTGATAGGGTTGATGATTGCCATGGAAACAGCAGTGTGGCCTGGGCATTGTGACTTCAAGGTCCATTCTGACAAGTGGAGGATGAGCGAGGAGCCCACAGTGTGGGGAGCCTTCGAGAACATCCTGGAAGTTTTGGTGTAAAAATCTGCTTTTGGGGGACTCTTTGTACTCACATTGACGTTCTAGAGGTAGGCCAGGTTGCTCCATTCTGTGGTCAACACAGCCCAAGGCTTGTAAGCTCCAGAGATCAAACTCTCTCTACCTTAAGGGAAAGGCTCAGGAAGAAAGACTGAATCCTGTGAACCTGTAGGATCTGATTTGGGTTTTTATGTCCAGTTATTCTGGGGAGTGTTACTTGTGGTATGCAGGGAGGGAAGGATAGTTGACCTCCTTCCTTATCAGCCTCCCAACCAACAGGAAGTGATGGAAATTGTAGCAGGTGAGCACTTCTCAGACCAGCAGCAGAGAGACAGTCTCAATTGGTCCCTCCCAGATTCAGATGATAGTTTCCCCAAGTACACATTTCTTTCAAGCCAGCTCATTCCACACTTGAAGGGACTTTTTTAAAAAAATTATTTATTTATTTATATTTCAACTATTGTTGTAGAAGCAATAAAATTGCACTAAATGTGCATGTTAAAGGCACCAAAAGGAGTTAGGATTCACATATTTTGCTAAGCCATAAAGTTCTTCACCTACATTCTGCTTAATGTGTCACATTCCCTTCCCCTCTTTGCTTTGACCTCATTGTCCCTCTGCCCCAGGACTACCTCAGTAGACCACAGACCAACAGTGGTTTTCTTTTTGAATTAACCCCAGGGTTCTTACATACATTCAGGGAGAGGAAGGCCTGGTGTGGTCCATCACCAACTGATTCAGGAAGAGGAAAGAACCCATGGCTGGGTTCACACATCAAACTGAGCTGTAATATGTTTCGATGTTTTAACTTGGTACAATGTGTGAACTCAATCATTGTGGTTTATAAAGTGTGAATCACATCCTAGTGTGTTATGTGATTCTGGCCAATTATAGTTTCTTAACAAACCATGGCTTAGCCTAATGTGTGAGTCTTCTTGGTGTAGGCATGATTTTTCAAATAGTATAGCTACCCCATATTGTAATTATGAAGAGGGCTGTGGTTAATTATGTTGAAGAGAGAATATATTTATAACACATTGTTGGCAAATAGCATAAATCATGACTGACTGTGAATTTGTCCTTGGGATCTAGTGTTAGAATAGTAGTCAAGAATATGAGCTCTGAGCAAGAAAATCCCTGCATTATGTAGGAGTTTAGTCACGAACTTATGGAATGGTCTTAGACAAGCAGTTATTCTGTCTGCTTCGTGCTGCAGCCATGTGACTACTGTAAGGTAAAGCTAATAACCGTGTCTGCCTTACAGACTGAAAAACTATGTTGTACCCTTCCACGCTGATTTTCATGTTAACTTCCTTTTTTTTTTTTAAATGACCTCAAGAAGGCATGCAGAGGATTTATGGGAAATGATCAGCCTCTGCTCTGATTAGTTTTGGCTCGGTTACTGTGGCAGCAGCCTTATTCAGATCATATATTATGGCCTTTGTTAATCTTCACGTCCTGATGGAAAAAGATCCTCTCAGGACAAAACAGCATCTGGAGCATCACAGAGTTGGAAGGGACCATTTATATAACTGAGTCCAATCCTTGGTTCTGTAATTTGTACAGGAATCCAAATTAAATCATCCACGCCTAAATGGTTCAATAGTCTGCCCGAGCCCATCCATTGAGGGACAGCCTACCACCACTCTGGTTATTGGTTCCAGCATCAAATCCCTCTGACTGTTTTTTCTGTCTGTCTGTCTGTCTGTCTGCCTGTCTGTCATCTATCTATCTATCTATCTATCTATCTATCTATCTATCTATCTATCTATCTATCTATCTATATAAAATAATCCTCTCTCACCCCTATGGTGGTCTGTGTCTTCCTCAATCTCAGGTTCTCTACCAGAGGCGTGGGAGTTGGAGGGTTCTGCGCAGGATCTTGGCTGTTCCTAGCACTGCTCTCTTCTGGACAGAGAGCTCTGGTGTTGTTCCTGGGATCTGTGGGAGCCCC